CTTTCTAGATTGTCAAACGAAATAAAAAATAGTGTCAACTGCATTTTTTCGCACGATCGGTATGCACCGATACCAACTATGTTCTAGGACCCAACTAACGTGCGTATGTAGTTAGGTTAACAGCCAGGCAAATACCTTGAAAACACTAGGATGTTCCGCTGAAACAATTCTCACTTCAAATAAAGCACAAATTGTTATCCATGGTTTTACCGTGACTTATAACACATAGGCCCGTATTTCACGAATGGAAACAAATATGCCCCCAGTTATTGCTGCATAGAAGATAGATGCGTGAGCACTGGGACTACATGTGATTTTTGTCTGATGATTGTCCCTTGTACGGGAACGAAAGCTCAGACAAAGATACATAGTGTTCCAGTCATCGCGCGTTCATGTTTGCACACTCATGTTTGTCGTATGTTTAGCAATCGAAAGAGGAGCAGAATTTAAAACACCGCAGGTCTCTCCAGGCGAGGGTTCGGACCAGGAAGCTTGAGGCCGTCCACGCTCGCGACCTCCTGCCGAGTTTTGTGTTGGATGGAGAAAGTCTTCGCCCCTTGAGAAACAACCACGAATGAGGTATCTTAAGGTGGCTCCAGGCATTGACGAATTAGAATACATCGGAGGTAAACGGCAGAGCATGTCTCCAAGTATTCCCCGAGATAAGAATCAGAGACCGTTTACTTTGGAGGGGCCGAGGAGATTGTCTGCATGAATTGGTAGAAATGGTGTAGGAAGCTGGTCGGATCTTCCTCCGCAACGCGCAGTTTTGGGGACCTGATCTCGCTGGGAATTCTGACGGTGGTGCGGAACAAGGGTTGACAGAATACCCAACAGGACCAGGAAAAGGCAGTCCGTTCAGTTCTGTGGATTTTCTGCGACGCTTAGGAAGGTGTTAAGCTTGAGGAGAAACCGCTTGACGATCCCATTAACAGCGGGCTTTTCGCCTTTTATGCTAATGCGTGTACAACCTAATTAGGTGCGGAGATATTTGGACGATGTGCGATCAAAAGTAGACACTGAAGACCTTGATTACCGCTGTATTCTCGAAACTGAGCGAAAAATTGCTTCCGGTAATAGGGGGAAGCAGTCAGCACATATATAAAGGTACTAACAATCACTAGACAGACACAGGGGTCTTAATAGCACAAACAGGTGTGATTAAACCTTGTTTTTTGGCTGAGGAGCTTTGGTGCGTCGCTAGACCTTGTTACGCTGATATGTCCGTGTCCAAACTTTTAGGTCTTTGATCATCCTAGGTCAGAGGGAGCTGTCGGAGACTAGATTTTCGGTCACTCGACTCACAGTGTGAGAGGATTTTTATAAGTAATAAACAAGCCTGTATTGAGGGTATGGCGGTAAGAATGGACAGGAGAGGCAGTTTATATGCCAGCGCGGACTATTTCGATGTCAGTAGTTACAGGGAGGTTCTAGAGTTTGTTGTCAACAGTCACCATCACGATGCCCGGCGCCTTTGTTCAAGGTCCTGCTAAATAAAGGTCACTTACCGTCCTAGTCACCGGTTCCAGACGCAAAAACTCACAGTTTGACTGACGTCAGCTAGGATACACGTGAGTCCACGCAGTCACTTGAACAGGCCAGCCCGTAGTAAATACGGAATAAGCCACTAGTCACATCACCTTTCATCTATTACAACAACCACCAATTGGACAACATTTAAACTTACACGACGTACCTATTGTGGTGGTTGTCACCTGTCAGAGAGCATGAAGCACTCTAAGAGGTTTTAGAGGCGTTGCAGAATTCAACTAGCACATGCAGAAACTCGAAGAGTCGACAGGGTCTGCTGAGGCTCGTCTGCGAAATGTCCTTCGGGACTTTGGGAATCTAGTGAAATGCCCACCTAAGGTGACTGTTAGTGGAAACACACTTGCTGACTAAATCACCAGAAAAGGCCACCTGATGGATGACAATCTAGT